ACTGTCCAGTACTGAAGGTATGACATGTGATAAAGTGTGCTACTGTCCAGTACTGAAGGTATGACATGTGATAAAGTGTGCTACTGTCCAGTACTGAAGGTATGACATGTGATAAAGTGTGCTACTGTCCAGTACTGAAGGTATGACATGTGATAAAGTGTGCTACTGCCCAGTAATGAAGTTATGACATGTCATGTGATAGAGTGTGCTACTGTCTAGTACTGAAGGTATGACATGTGCTAAAGTGTGCTACTGTCTAGTACTGAAGTTATGACATGTTATAGAGTATGCTACTAAAGTTGGTACGACTGTCAAGAGTAAGTCACCATGCTACTTACTGGATTTTAATAGCATTTGATAAATTTCATAGTTCTTATTGAATCAGCACACAGAAGTAGCACATTTCGTCAGCACATAATAGGTTCAGTGCATTTCAGAGGGCATCCTCATCAAAGACACACCAAGTTCAGGGCACTTCTATTTACTTCTATTTTCTTACATTGGCCACAATCTTAGCCTCGCTGTACTGTGTATCGTAGAAGATTTGACTCTGCTCTAACTGTTCCAGCATGGCAGACTCCTGAGCAATCTCATTTGTCAGCGCCTCAACAAATGACTCCAGTTTCTTTCCAGAATCCTCAAACTCTTGTACGAACAACTTGCCGCCGCTGCGATCTGAAAAGGACGACAAACAATGTGCGCTGGATGTATAGAGCCGGGCTTAGGTCGGCCTTGCGACGTGAAGCGATTGCCTGCGACTGATTTTCTACAACAGGTTGCAAGTCACAGCGACGATCACGTCGCAGAGAAAGTTCGAACTAAGCACCCCTGCGACGGGTCTGCGACTGGAAAATTGTCAGTCGCAGCAAGTCGCGCATGTTCTACTTTTGCGACGCGACGCGACTAGTTCCACCGGTCGCAAGCATTGTTTTTCATGGTTACTACTCGACATAAGCTGCCTTTCGATCACTGCGACGAGATTCGTATGCATAATGAACAATGCATGCGAATAAAACAATCAGTGCATACAGTCATGTACACAACATGCACACAGCAACAAGTCATGTAAACTCATTTAGTTGCTCGATCTAAGCGACTTCTGCGACTGCCTGCGACCCAGACGCTGTCAGTCGCATCGCCGTCGACCTAAGCATTCAGTCGCAGTGAGTTGCAGTTCGTCGTGTCGCGTCGCATTCAATCGCAACCCGACCTAACGCCGGCTTGAGCCGTGTGTCAATTGCACCAGTACGAGCTACTGGTCACAATGTTGAAGCATACATGTATGCAGCAACCTGCATCCTTACACCCTCACTCAAGCTCTCCTGTGTGCACTTATTGCCATACACAAGATTACCTTTCAGCTGTTTTAGAATCTCGGCATTTGTTGCATCTACACGAAGGCTTGCCACTTGTTTCTGTCTCAGTTCGGCTTCGGATTCAAGACGCTTATAGTTGACGATGCTCTCTATAAGCTGGGTCGGCTGTAGTAATCATACCAGTTTATATACCACGGCTTATATACAGATAGCAACACAGACAGCATTGCTTATAGGTCATAAACGTTCACGATATTCAACTACTAATCTTGGTAAAATTATGCATCATTCTAGCTATATACACAATTTACTGATAAATGATAATAAATTAATTTAAGCATAATATAATGTACAGTTTCACAAACTATAATCTCCCATCTCTAATTAAATATACCTTGAAGTCTGCGAGTATTTTTGCATCAACAGCTGGTAGGCTCTTTGTTTTTGCTAAAGAATGCAAACAGATAAAGTGTCAAATGTATATATATATATATAGACCGTTTTAAAACTTTCAATAAATCTTGCCCATAACTTATGCTACATATTAAATTTCAAATATCATTCTGTTTAACAGAGATAGTATTTGTAAAGCAAAAACAGCCCAAACTGATTTTTCATATCACAAGTATTGTTAAAACCCACGTAAGCTAACTAATACTGAATCTATTGTACTTACACAGAATAGCTCTTAGTTCTTCTACAAAGTCTGACTCAAAGACTCCTCTCTCCTCCCATATTTTCAAAATTCTCTCTATCTTTACCTTTATTGACGAATCTCTAGAATACAAATACACCAATTATTCATACTTTTAATACGTGATTATGACTAGATTCTGTGCAGAAAGATATAACGTTATTAATGATAAACTCTACTGAACCTCTGACATCAACTAATATACTATTTATTGTTGTCAACTTTTAAATTAGGATGCAAAACCATATTTGTCACAATGTACAGTATACCGAATGAAGATTTATTAAAACAAGTATAAATCCAACAGGTGAATGGCTATATTCGGTCTACTCTGTTCATTGTTTCTAAAGAAACGTTTCATGAAAACACCATCACTGTTTCCAAACATTACATAGGCAGCACTACCACAACAGCAATAACAATATGTACAATCAACAATTAATTTTTAAATATTTTCAACACCAACAACAACATTTCTGCTTATTACAATACATTGAATTATAAAATGGATATGGGGCATTATCAAGTATTACATAGAGCCAATTACAGAATACGAGTGCATCCGAAAGCAGACCAGACTTGTATCTGTACCTTACAAACACGGTCGCATCTCGGAGAACGGACTGGAAAGCTGAAAGGAACATCACTGCATGCTTTTTCTTGCAGTTCTGAACGACATCGTTGGCTACATAGTACATAGTCAGACGGTGTGGAATCTTGGCTGTAACGTAAAAAAATACAATTTTTGAGATTGCGAGTTACTAACTCCAATCTTAATTTTCAGTAACATTATAAGCAGTTTTTAATAATTTACATTTCCACAATGACGTATTTGGGCTGGGAGTAAGAAAGCATTTTTGCCACCTACCTTTCTTCAGTACTTTAAGCCATATTTCAACAATCTGTTCATGGTTGGCCTTATGGTGAAGAATCCACAAAGACATTGTCTGTACACTGTCCTGTGTATTTAACACACCCATAAGCTTCTTCACCAGACTATCCTCACTTAATGCTGCAGCCATCTTTAAGCTAGGTCTCTACCTCATTCGCTTGAAAAAAAAAAGCATAAATGCACCTATTAACATTTTCATTGCAAATGAAGAAATATTTATAACCTAACATTAACAATGAAATTTGAAAATTAATGAACAATTGCCTTGGGTAACTTATTTTCATCATAAAGTATTTGCATTTTCAGTACAAGGCTTATGATGCAAGACTGTGTACAAATGTATTTGCAAAAAACTTCTTTTACAGTATAAATGAGTAATATCGCCTCAACTGAATAGGATGGTATTTCTTATAAGAAATTTTCCAAACTATTATGACAACTGATGGACTATGTTATAATTACATTGGTCTTGTGCCACCTCATTTAGTTTCACAAATGTAATCCAGTGCAGCCCTCGACACTAACGGTTGTCCGATTGCCCGGGACAAGTGAAAGTCTATGTCGGACAAGTTATTCTCTTGCCTAGTTGCCCGATCGGACAACTGAAAAGTTCTAGTTGTTTAATATTCTTAACATCCTTTGAGCCAGCATCCTCTGAGCCGCTATCGCACCACATTCTCACTTCAAACGTTTTCAAAGGTCCCTGAAAAAAGCAGCCCGAGACACCCA